ATTAGCAATATCTCCGACTTATACAAATCGATTAATCGATTATCGGCGCAAAGTCTGACATTAAGAGTCTAACAATAAACAACGATGATTTTTCGCCGACGTTGATCTCGATTCTCGCGTTCTCTTCCACGTGTCCGTCCGTCACTTTTCCGCCGACTTTGACTCCGACAAAACGGTTCGCCGTTAAATCGCGTTGGGATTTAACGGTCGTCTTTACGCATCTACACGCCTTTATGCGTGTCCGTCTTTTGATCCACAATTAGTTACAGAAGTAAGGCGCGACGAAGCATTACGACGCTGAGACGGTTTAATGTTACTGTTCAACGGTTCTTATTTTCATGCACGCATAAAAAAAAAATGTAATTCTTTTTGACCGAGAATTCTATTCGAGGAAACATGATCGCATCATCAGTTAGACGAAAACTGATTCTTTCCAGATGGTTGCTCTCGTTTCAAAGCGATTGATTCAACTTCTAAGAACTAGGAACGATCTTGAGTTAGGTACGAATAAGCCAACTTATAATCAAATTTTTCACTATTGCGTTTTTTATATATTGCGTTATAGCTGAAAATATTTAATACCATTAAAGTTTTCGCTGATAATAAAAAGAATTTGCTTTGCTTTTGACAATACGCTTATCGCGGTGTTTCTCGTTCGCGTAGAAAACATCATCAGAATTGATGAGATGTCATATTGTGTCCGATAAAGAGAAGCTAACGAGAAAGAGAGCGAGAGAAAGATAGAAGCTTTAGTTATATATATTAATTGTTATTACATTGTTGCTCGTGTGGCGATAGCTCGTTGTTAATAATAGACGACCGATGCCCGTTCGCCCATAACGCGCTTATTTTCCATTGCGATTACTTATCGAATCGTTTCTCTTTCGACTGCGGTGCCGATCGGGTGCCAGCTCGGAATTTTCATCCCTCTTTCGACATAATAATCGCCGCGAGACGCGTCAATTAGCGTTTAAAATTGCATGCAATTTCCCTCTAATTAATTAATATCTTGTCATTATTAATCTTCTAATTAATTGTTATTGACGCTTATATGTCTGAATATTTGTCTTATAGACTCGTAAATATTTCCGGATATTTTTGCAATTACAGCATCAACTGTGATCATATATTTATATTATGAATTATACGAAGTTTTAATACACAAATAACATGCGAAACTCTGTTGAAAGATGAAATAGATGCAGTTATCTACTTAATTTTCTATTTGTATACAACTGACAAATTATAATAAATAATGGGAATTTTTATCAGATTATTAATAAAGGAATATATCTGACAGAGAGACTTACTATAAGTGTATTATAAGAGAATTCTTTATCGCGCGCGCAGATAAAACAATCATTTTCCTTGTATGATTCACATTCGCTAATAATTCGCTTCTAAAAATATTATACATATCTATAAAATATTATATGTATACACATTATACAGATATGAAATGTAATTTGGCCTCGACAAATATGCGGTCAGTTTACCATGGAGTGATTTAAAATGAGGAAAATCACTGATAGCCGTGACAGATATTTTTGCGCAACCGGCTATAACAAGCGATAATAATTATTTCGATGTTATTAATTTTGGATGTTTTGATTTCATTATTCTTTCCATGGAAATGTCGATAAGGCAAATATTTTTCGGACACAGCGCAATAGAGGATACGATAAAGAACGATCATGAATTTTACGAGTGACACGATAATTTAATGTCGCAGGATTCTTAATCGCGAGTTATATTTGGATCATCGTTTGGGTTATAAATAAGAGAATCATGTGGTATCTTATAAATTTACTGGTATCTTACAAACTTTTTACGTAAAGGTTGCATCGTTTATCGCATCCTTTGTTGGTTTTTAACAACATTCTTGTTAAAAATAAAATGTAAGATATTATTAATGTATCGAAAACATGGAAAATAATTATACGCCTATTATAATAAAATATATAATAATTATTTTATGTATAATAATAATATATAATAATATATAATAATTATTTTATATTAATATTTACTTTATTAATAATAATTTTATAATAATAATATATAATAATTATTTTATATGCCTATTCCATACGTTTGCCAACTCCTTTACAGGAGGCCCTTATGAAGGCTGTGTAGGATCGTAGAATCGTATTTTTTACAAACGCAAATCTTTCAAAATGCTATCTATTAGCTATACATCTGCCGCATCTTAAAATTCTGCTTCTCATATCGGAGAAATTATTCATTAAGAATATAATTATTTGAGAGAGAAATTTTTCAATTCGTTTAAAATGAATAATAATCATCGTTGTGTATTAATATTACAGAAATAATTCTGCGTGTAAAGTTCTCAAATCATCATCCGCGAATCAGTTCGTCCGCGAACTCTCTTGGCTGCGCGTGGCTGCGGGATAGCCTGACAGCTAACGATCCACGTGTGCGACCACTTGAGGCTAGTTTTCCATAAGTTTTCTAAAGTGGACGCGTCTCCTCTCCTTTGCACAGGCGGTTCACTTAGGCTCAATAGGCCGGTAAGTGGCCGCTATTACAACACCGGCGCGCACTTAGGAATCACACGTGTGTGTACTCGCACGAGTGCATCGCCACGTAGTTGCAGCAGCACGTGGCGCGCGTGTGTCCTTGGCGGTCCCGCTTCATCGACATCCTTCACCGTCACGCAAGAACGTGCGATCCGGAAAGAAATTCAAGCGATCGCGACTCGGCGTATCGGCACCTTGCGCGTAACGTAAGAGGCGAGAGAGATTGTTGTGTGTTTTTTAAATACGTGACACAAACGTCAAACCATCTGGCTACGGTCCACGGACACTCGCGCGATTATTATTGTATTGAATCTATGAATAGATTGGACAGCTATCTCTTTTTCTCCATTTAAAAGTCATCGTGTTAATGACGGCGAATTCGATCCTTAAGCGCGTTAATCCGATCCGTTGGATCAATCAAAATTAATTTTAATCGATTAAAGTCCATTGATGGTCGTCTTGATCATCGTGTCTCGTCGAAATTTTTGATGAGAAAAAATCGATCACATCTAGCGAATAATATGACACATACATATATATTTTTATATAAAAAAATCAAAATTAATTTTAATCGATTAAAGTCCACCGATGATCGCCTCGATCATCGTGTCCCGTCGAAATTTTTGATGAGAAAAAATCGATACAATATTCTGTATAATATGCATGCCAAAACAGTTTCCTTCCTATATGTTGTATCACATCCAGCGAATAATATGACACATACATATATATTTTTATATAGAAAAATTATAATATTTATGCATATTTATAACATATACATATAGATATGAATGCATGTATTTATATCTAAATCGATGTTGTTTTAGAATAACAGAATTCCACGAAAATAGTGAAATAATATCCGTGGTAGCTGAATCTATAAATAGAAGAAAGATATGGGGCGGGGGATATTTATATTTTCTCGTTGAAAGATATCGAAATTACCAAGATCGGTAGGAAGAAACGAGGGTAGGAGGTCGTGAGGAGCGACCTCTCTATCTGTAGAAAAATACGACTGACATATCAAGCTGGGACAAAATAGGCGGTGAGCAATTAAAGCCTCCACTAATGGACCACACTTGCAATTAGTCCTCGCCGATCGGAGCCAGAGATGATTTGACGCGATCTTTCCGTGTTTTTGCGCGCAAATTGAACCGGCCGATCATCCGTTGGTTCCCCCAATTTATATCTTCGATCAATCAGAAATAATAACGTCTTTATCAATCATTCAGAGATAATAACGTTTGCCTTTATTGATATCGAACAGTAATAACAGCTACTCCACTTTTGTTTAAAATACTGTTTTGCATCGCACACGTGATCGATAGCGGCTAAATTCGTAAAGTGTAATCTTTATTTTCATTTATGTGTGCATCGAAGTGCAATCCGATACTATTATTTTTCAAGAAATAAATATTAATTAATAAGATAAATTTTGTAAGAGAAAATATTTATATATATTTATCAGTTATTTTTCGAGAAATAAAAATTAATAAGATAAATTTTATAAGAAAAAATATTTATATATATTTATCAGTTATGATGACATAATTTATGTATATATATTTATCAATTTTAATAACGTAAATGTTGATCAATATAAATATTATACATATAAATATTTTTTTCATTATATATATAATTATATATATTAAATGAAAAAAGCAACGACGATTATTATTCTTCTACGGCGAAAATAACTCGTAATGTAATATGCAATTTTTTCTATTCACATTTCTTCAATTTACCGCTGCATCGGAGACGGTGCCATGGTGCATTAGCGAGATACAATAGCATAATAATGTGGTACGGTATAACCGTCTAGCGCTCTCAATCTTGGCGCGATGAGCTCGAGACTCTACCACGGGGGGTGTCTCGAGGAGACGGTATTTCATATCCTTAATAAAAAAGAAAAAAAAAAGGTCGCTTTGTTCGCCCCTCGTCGGGGTACGAAAGGATGGCGGATGAAGCGCGGTGCGCGCGACAAATGAATATATATGGAGAACGAGTCTCGTTTCTCTCTTCGCCAGTCAGACGGTTGGGCCCGTCGCGCTCCGGCACAAAAGAATACATTATAATTTCGGGGGATACTTTGTCGGAGGGATCGCGACTGCAAGACGGTGGCGTTTCCCAAAAATGAGAGAGCGAATCGCCGCCGTCTTTAACGTCTCGTCCGTCCACCACTCGGCATCTAATTTCTCTTTCGGCGAGGGATGTGGGGTCCCTCCGATGATGGCACGAAAAAGCAAATTGGTGCCATCGGACGCGCGCGTCTGGACCGCTAACGACCCCACCTCCCCCTCCTCCCCCTGTGTCGCCGGCCACATGACCGGTAAGAATCTGTCTACCACCGAGCTGTCTATTCCTCCACCTCCTTTTCCTCTCCCTCTTCCTTCTCCTACTTCTCTTCCACTACTTCTCCCTCCTTATCCTACCTCTCTCCCTCTGGTCCCTGAAATCTGGAACAAGAACCGCGTGGCGAGGCAGCCCGGTACCAGTGGCACCGACGAACTCGGTACCAACGGAAGTCTCTTCAAGACTTGGGATCTCGCAGCATCGTCCACGCCGCAAGATCTTCCGCAAATACGACAATCGCGGGAAACGAGAGGAGAACGAAGAAAGAATTTCTCTTCGAGAAGACCAGACTTGGAACAAAGACTTCCAAACGTTAGACTGCATATTGAGACTGAAGGCAAGCTCGAGGAGGCTTTCCGGTCCACGATTGGATAGAATTAATAAATCACAAGCTCGTACGCGATCGGCGAATGCGCCTGCGGCGGATCTTGAAGGATCGGGACTCCTAGAACCTTTAGACGTCTTTCTGTACGTTTTTTCTTGACGATTTTAATCGTGATTCTTTGAGTCGAGGGAAACGTTAAGATGACAGACGGCGATCGTGTAACATGCAAAGCGAGACCGGTGTTTCTATTCGTGTTGGTTCTCCTGAGCATTCTGCACATCGCCGACAGCCAAGTCACCTTGAGAAAATCGCATATCCGGATGCAGAAACTGTGCTCCAGAAGCCTGAGCGACGCCCTGTACCTCGTGTGTCGGGAACGTGGCTACAACGAGCCGTTTTCGTATAGCGGCGAAGACGAGCCAAGAGTCGATCCCGGGCCAGGTCTTGTCGAAGAGTGCTGTTATCACTCGTGCAGCTACTATCAACTCGAGCGTTACTGCAAACCTCTGCCCGAAGAGAGACACGACGTTATGTGAGTGGATGTTAGTGCGTCTTTTATGTTCTTTTGTTATTTGTTTTTTTCTTTTTTTTTTAAATTAAATTAATTCTATTTCCGATTCCTCTTAGAAAATTACATTTTTCACACATTTCTTCTTCGCTAATCGTTTCAACTTTTGTCTCTGTACTTTCTCTCTCTCTCTTTCCTTTTTCTTTTTATCGTTTGTTTATTAAACGTATTCTATTTTTTGTTTTCTGTATTTATATATTTTATTATGTATGATCGTAATTCTTGTCATTCTATTGTATTTATTAATTTTTCTAATTATAAATAAAAAGTTTTTTATTAGTAAGATGATCTCTAATCCGAGCGCGCGTTTACACATAATTTTGACACAATATTTTGTTGAATTTTTATATCTTGTAAGTTAATTAACTTTGTAAGTTAATTTATTAATTATTAATATATTAATAAATTAGTAAATTTATTAATAGACTAATAAATTAAGAAGAATTTTATTATATACCCCTTTAAGTCATATGTGAATATATATTTTTAAAAAGATATTTAGATATTTCAAATGCGAATAGAAAAAGATATTGGTACTGATAGCTGATATTTTAGTATCCAGTAAATTTTGTCGCTCATCGATTAATTTTCGCATAATCGCAAAGTGCATACTCACTTATCACACGTTTTGTCATCGTCAATTAGTAGATTTCATTTATAACAGAGAGGCGATTAAACGATCGTGTATAAATAGCCGATCATATATAATTATATAATATGTAACAAACTTATGTAATTATTTATTATCGATGTTGTATCATTTCTCTCGCACGTCTGAATAGTAGGTGATCTGCATCGAATGTCAGCTCTTAGAGCAATGGAGATCGTACTCTTTCTGAGAGAGTGAGCACTAATATCGAAGAGAAAGAAAGAGAGATAGAGCGAAGCCGCGTGTTATCATGGCCTCAGTGATAATCTCTGCACCTCCTAAAGTTCATGGTTCTATATAAACTTTTTTTACAGATAGAAGATTAGTCCGAAGTACTAGGACAACTCGCGTATCATGCGTATATAATGTTTTTTCTTCTTTCCCATCAGCTTCTCTTTCTTTCGTCCTCCTTTCGTTGTTTTCGTGATAATGCCCTATGAATTTATCGAATTATTCAACTTGTTTTTTTCCTCAAATTTTAATCAAATCTCTGTACACAAATGTTTACAAAACTCTTTGTCCATAAGAATCTGTATTTTCGTATCTAGCGATATTATTGTCACATTTTTAAGGCTGACCCGTTTATTGCGTTATTCTCGGCTCGTTAAACTCGATTTTAGGGTCGACGATCTAATATGAATTTCGCAGATCAAAAATTCCATCGTAAACAAGGATAATCGATAGGGGTTGATAAGTCTAAGACTTTGATACTAATCTAAGAGAGATGAAGCATTACGGATATGTTGTGTAAAATTTTTCGATATTTGTGCCTATTCTACGGAAATTATTTATTTATTTCTTCTCTTTATTTTTTTCAGAGGAGAGTCATACATGGGAAGTGTAGTGAATCTACCTTTCTCGATGACATCGTCGGAGCAGAGATCGGGGACGGAACACGTCGGTACGAAAAAACGTAAGGTCGATGATTTGAAAAGGGAACGGCACAGGGGGAAAGGTGGTCGCAATATTGATGATGAATGCAAGGGGAAACCTGATGTGAAAAAGCGACACCGCAGCAGGCACTGCAGATGCCGTCGTCGGCGTCTGGAGTGTCGGCGAGCTGGCAAGGTGCTTTCACAAAACGTCATGATGTCATTGCTTGCCTATTAACACTTATAATATTTTTGCCGTTTTCTCGTCACGTAATCTCATTGGAATTAATGGCATTTTTCGACAAAAATTTGCGAATCTGCGCTTCGAAACGCGTAATGCATGCACTGTGGATATTTATGCGATAATCATCCGACACACAGCTGCTAAATTTGAGAAACTAGAATTTTGAAATGTTTATTTAACGGCTGAATTTTTATTATAATATTAGTATCTTTCTTTTAAATTTTAGTAAAAAACAAAGCTCTTGATTTACGCTTCAGATTGTGTGAATTATCTTTATTTAGTCTAAATTCCTGTTATTTATAGAAATATCTGAAATGCACTCTCAGAATTGTAAACATACTTGATATGATATATTCTTGTTTACGGTGTCATGCTTTGCTGTTTCTGCTGCTTCTCTCGGTACATTTCAATCATAAAAATAACTTACGCTTCGCATCCAAAAATAATTACAGATAAATGACATCGTGTGTATTTTTTTTTAATATTGCATGTTGGGCATTTTTCATTGAGATTGAGATTGCAACGCAGCTTCAGATAATTAATCTCTTTTGCATTGTCTTTTGTTGCGAGGTTTGTTTATTATTCTTAAATTGACCGTACTCTTTGTTTCTCCATTCTTTCTTTCAACTTCTAAATATAGATCTATTTCATTTTTAGTGTACGTTAGTTAGTGCAGATAGTTTAGAAATAAAAAATAAGCTTTCGACTAAATTTTTGATATTAATGGAAAAAAACAAAAAGAAAACAAAAACGATCGTAACGTATATGCATTTCTGTCGTTGCAGGTTTCTCGCCGTGAGGCAAAACTTTTAGCTAATCAATTTGTGACATCGTCGCCGACAAACAAGCCTACGTCGTCTCCCACTATATCATAATGCAACGTTGAGGTACTAAAAACAATGCAATCAATAACCGGTCGTTCACACACGAGGCGTTCCAGGAGATGCGATTTCTGTGAGAAGCGGTACTCTTAGAACTCATTTTTTTCTTCATGCCATTCTCCTACCTGTCACTCCATTCGGCGCATCGCTAAAACAATTATGAAGTTTGCACACGGATGATCGCTAGAGAAGAAAACAAACAGAATTTGGGATAGATGTTTTGCGAAGAGGAAAAGGAAATTGAAATTCCTAAAAGAAAGGAAATTTTTTTTTCCTTTCTGAAGGAAGGGAAATCTGCGTGGAGGAAAATTATTCATAGCAAGTGTAGAATGTCTCATCACGCATTTAGTAGATCAAATCAGCGATGAAACGTGTCAGCGGCGCAAAGAGAGAGTCATCCGCCAATCTTGAATCTCGCAATTTTGAACACGAAGAAATTCACGATGGAGGAAAGCAGCTTGATATTGATGGGAAAGGATGTGGTTTTTCTGACGTTTTCTTTTAATAAAACAATGTCATTAAAGAAATAGTGAAATTTGATGGCGACTCGAGATGAACTATATCACGGACTATATCGAATATAATTGTGATGAACTTGAGTTGGAATGCAATTCAGGACAATCGGGTCGTAATCTCGCAGAGAAAAAGAAGACTTTAAATAAGTGATTTCAACGTAAGCGTTTTTAGCGCTCGAACAACTTGAATAATTCGCCAGTGATCTTAGTTTTATTGACGACTGATGATCTCATTAGTATTAAAAGTTTTGTTGTAGATTTAAGATTTAAGTTACAAACTCCAACTTGAAATACACATCCCCGATAAACGTGTACTTTATTAACGAGTCCACCAGCGAATGGATGAGATTTAAATGGAATTGTAGTTTTTAATAAAGACATAGATTCAGAATTCACATTAGTTATAGATAGGAATTTTATCACGACGCATAGTACAGCGTGAATCTTACTCGCGAATATTTCATCCGAATATTTCACTTAATATCTGCATCAATAATAGCAACCAATAAACATTTATACGAGCTAATCAATTTATTACTTATTTTATGGAATACCTTATATTGAAGTAAAAAAACTTATTTGATTAACTAATTTAATAATTAACGAATATAAAAGAATGAATTTGACAATGCATTTGTAAAGTTTTATTTATGTACTCTTTTAAGGAACCGCTAATTTCGAAAGTTGTCGAATCTTAATCTTAAGACGTTTGACTTGCTAAACAAGGTATGCGCATCGTTTCTTTAAGACATTTATCGACATTTTGACAGCATTTCGAAGCTGTTTCTAAAAAAATTCTCCAAGCCTCTTGTTTTGAAGCTCTTGGTGATCTTTCATAGATATCATTATACAGTTCGCCCAGTTCTTCGTCATTAAGCTCGAGATCGTCGTTAAAGGCCTGTCAAACATTATGTCACTTTTTATTGCTTTTATATTCAATTTTATATCATTATAGTTTTATTTAATCTATGATACTATCTTTATTTCTCAAGTTGATTAATTATTTATTAATACATTTTTATTATAATATTAATAATTATATAATATTAATCATATAATATTAATCATGTTAGTTACGTAAAGTATGACATTATCAAAATTATTAAAATTGTATAATATATTGATTCAGTCGTTTATTTTATTTTTGTAAGTCGGAAATGGGAGATGCTGAAGCGCTGCATGTTATCGTCGGAAAAATTTGCATTGAAAACAGTTGCATTTGTTAATTATACAAGTAAAGGCGTTATAGAATATTTTTATTGTCCATTGTTTTTATTTCATTGTGAGTTATCGATTTTATTATTTCGTTATCGTTCCTCTTTCCAGGGATTATACAGAAATGGATAACGTCATGAAGCGTTTTTTAGGCTATGATATTTTCACAGAAGTATGATGGATCGCAATATTGATCTTGATGGATTGACTGGATTCCGTTTCCCAAAGAGCGGAATGGATTTCAGAAGCGATTGGCTTACCGGGGTGCGGAAGGGTGTAACACTCCTTCTGTCAAGCGGATAAGGCATCAGGGAATAATATCCTGATCGACCGAAAGTAGGTCTTAACAGACTTGAACCGGGATCGTAATATCCTGTCCCGGAGACGATGTACGCCCTGGCTTTGGCAGCGCCGTTTATAGCCTCCGCCACGATCGGCAGAGCGATATCGCCGGTGATTAGTCCGGATGACAGCTGTCTTTTCTGCGGAACACCGTGAGGCACTGAATCATTCGGCCAGGGGTAGTAGTCTGGAAGAAAACGCGATTGTCGTGCGTCAATCTCGAATAGATCAACAGTTTGTTGAAAGAAAAGTCACTCTGATGAGATGACGAAGCGTTCTATTTTCTACTCTACAACACCATAGTTTTTGTTCAACAATATTTATTCTACTAAACGATTTAAATGTTAAATGCTCGACAATTCTTATCAATTTTATAATTGGCTTCTCGTTGTCTATTTGATTGTAGAAAGATACTTTAAAAGTTTACAGGTAATTTAAAACTTGATCAAATGAGAAAACAATCTACATCTCATGTTTATTTCAATAAATATTTCTCTTTTTGCATACTTTATTAACAAATATATAAAATGCATATTTATAAATATCTTTGATGGGAGATCACTCACCAAACTGCTCTTGTCTCTTCGATTCGTATTTTTCGTCGTATTTCTGGAGATCGAATTTTTCCATGCCTCTTTTGACTCTAGCACCGAGCCTGCACTTCTTCATGTGTACGTCCATCACGATTGTCTTGCATTGTGTGCTAGCCCATGAAATCCCACACGTAATTATGAGAATTAGCGCGATCCAATGTACTTCGCTACGATGTAGAGGCATTTTTAAATTGCAGTTTGATCCGACTGGCTTCGATTATCCGGTACTGCTCGCGCTACACAAAATCCGAAGTTAAGATTCATCGCACTTTTAACAATGTTCTTATCCGAATATACGTGTCGAAATTATATTTGTGTAATCATGTATTGTATACTTTTGTTTATATTACTATGCACGTACGTGAATGTTAATTATTATCGCATAATCGATAATAGTCGAGAAGTATTTTCGCGAGGAATCCATAATGAAATCATAGATAATGAGACGAAAAATTTCGAGATACATATCTTTTTCTTAGCAATACATATATGTATATTATATATTTCTTTTGAAATACAGATTTCGCAACAAAATTCGTAGAAGATACATAACACATTATTTATTAATTACAATGGAGTTAAATGTGGCTCTCAGCATAGAATTATTATATAGTGCAGCAATTTCGTGCGGGTAATAAATGGTCTTATTTCATTGCTGCGTGGGTGTCAATTGATACGAGGATGGAATGTTCTGCACGATGTTGAAATTGCATATTCTTGCGCGCGTTACAGAAAATTATCTGTGAGATTTGCGCTTAATGACACGTGCTTGCGAAGGCGCGTAATCACTTTCTAAATGATTGATGATTAAAGACGATAAGGATTAAAGACAATAAAGAAAAAATTTATTTTTATTATAATTTTATTATTTTTATAATTTGTACGTTAATATAGATAATTACTACTAAATAATTTTTAAATAGTATTACTATAAATAATTGTGGAGCTTTAAATTAGTAAGTTAAGTTATAATTTAAAGTTATGTGTTTGTAAGATAATTTTGTAATTAAGATTTTTTCTAAATATTAACTACGAAATAATCTTATTAATTAATTTATGCATTAAAGTAAATAATCTTACTAATTAAGTAACCTTATTAATTATTTATTAATTATTCTTAATAATTATTATAAATAATCTTACTAATTAATACTCATATTGCTTACATGATTAATATCCATATTATGATGTTTTATAACATGATTAATACTCATATCAATGTTATTGATACTACAATATCCTGTATGGATATTTTGATGTCGAAGCACTTGCGTGAATAAAATTTATATAATAGTGATACGTACAAGGAAAAATGAACAAGAGATAATCAGACATAGTTTTCAATCAGTTTTTTATCTAATTGTAAATATTATTGTGTGATTAAATATTACACGCGTATACGGTTCATTTCTTAAATTATTATTATTATTTTGTAATACAATTTATTGACTTTAATAACTTTATTATTCTATAGTTTATCCTTTTCTATATGTTCCATATATTTAATATATATTCTATATATTCTATATATTTAATATATATTCCATATAATATACAATATAGTACACAAAACTTTTTTATACACACATATATATATATATATATATATATATATATAATAATCTCAGACAAACTACATATAATGTTTTTTAATTAAAATTATTATATATATATATATATATATATATATAATTAAATATATATATATATATATATAATTCTTAAAATTATAATATACATATAAGAATTTTTTAAAATTATTATATACATAAAACTATTTTACAATTAGGTACACTACATGTAATAATTTCTAATTTTATATACATATATATAATTTAAGAAAAATTCTTTAAGACAATTACGTAAACAAATTATATGTACATATATATATAATGTCTTAAAGAATTTTTCTTAAATTATATATGTATATAAAATTAGAAATTATTACATATAGTATATCTAATTGTAAAATAGTTTTATGTATATAATAATTTTAATTAGAAAACATTATATGTAGTTTGAGATTATTATGTATATGTATATGATTATGTATATGTATAAAAAAATTTTTTGTACTATATTATATATTATATGGAATATATATATATAGAATATATAGAATGTATATATATTAAATATATGGAATATATAGAAAAGGATAAACTATATAAGATAGAATAATAAAGTCATTAAAGTCAATAAATTGTATTACAAAATAATAATAATAATTTAAGAAATGAACCGTATACACGTGTAATATTTAATCACACAATAATATTTACAATTGTAATATTTAATCATACAATAATATTTACAATTAGATAAAAAACTGATTGAAAACTATGTCTGATTATCTCTTGTTCATTTTTCCTTGTACGTATCACTATTATATAAATTTTATTCACGCAAGTGCTTCGACATCAAAATATCCATACAGGATATTGTAGTCTGATTTCAAGCCTTATAACTCAAAAAATACTAAAGAGAAAAATATTTTATTATAGTGTTTTGGAAAGCTCTCGATGTAAGCTATAAGAATATGCAATAAAAAATAGGGTTTTCCGTTTAAAAAATTCAAAGTATTTTTTATGTGAACTTGATGGCTATTCAAAGTCAATCTGATATGATCATTAAAAATTATTTTAAGCCTTACAACTTTTGTATGAAACATTTTTCTCTAAAATGTTTAAGTTCCTCAAAAAACTACTGATACGGATGGTCTGCGACACCCTGTATATATATATAATAAATGGGGCGCGTAGCGCGCTTGTAGTATTTAGTATTTAAAAAAAAATGTATACTTCTATTAATGTAATTTATATATGTATAATTTAATTATTATTTTTAAATGTAAAAACATAATACATCGTACATATCAAATATTTCTTTCCCTTTATATTCTGTATGTTTATATATATGTACTTTGTTTGTGACATCGAAAGAAAATCAAGTCTGAAGCAAGAAAGTTTAGTTTTAAATCATGAATAATAATCTCGCAATTTCAGTATGGTTTGTACGGTAGTTTTTTGTGAATATAATGTATTTGTGTGTAAAATGCATCCTTAAATTTCCATATGGATCGTTAAATATTGATAGTATTGTAAAAGTCATTCGTATATTCATTCATACGTATATGCATCATTCATCCATTCATTCATAATTATGTAAGCGAGACTGTGGAGATCTCTGTCGGACAACTTGAAGAGATTCCAGCTGCATGAAACCTCTGTTCAAATAGATATCGCCGATCAGGGTGGGTCATATAATATTGATATCAAATACACATCAAAGAGAAGACTGAGAGATGTCATGGCCTGCTTTTAGGTGATCTCTGAAAGCGATACTCCCTCTATGGACATTGAAAACGTGGACATGAACTATAAAGCCAATGTCCATGAATGTTCTTAGAGGGTAATATATGTGCATAATTAAATAATTAAATAATATATAATGTGCACAATTTCTGGTTTCGTGCTATGTGCACGAAATGCCGATAGCACCAGAGTACAAGACATTTATTTCATCTTTGAACATTACAGTATCTTTCGCGATTGAATAATTTATTTACTATCAATTTATATGTATAAATTATAAATTATAAATTATTCAATCGCGAAAGATACTGTAATGTTCAAAGATGAAATAAATATTTTTCTATATTCATTACCACATTTATATTATATATTTTTATTTATAAAATATTATTTAATTAATCCAATATAAAATATGTAATATAAAACTTTTAGACACTTTAACATTTCGTGTATATGTTAAAGTACGTAAAATATATCAGCAGTGAATGGATAATAACACAGTCGGCCTTGGCGGCGTATGACGCGCTGTGTTTACATGTACGGTCTTGATATCATTCACACGGCAACATTCGAAGAGTAAGGTGCGAATATACTTCGTAAAATTTAATAATATACTTCGTATATTATTAAATTTTTTCTCTAACGATAAAACACAATTATGACTAGTATTAAAACATAATTTGCTATGATAATTATAATTAGTACTTGCTAAACTTTTAATTATAATTACTACGCGAATGCCGTGCAAAATGTCTCGCGATTTTTATGTACACTAATCTTAATTAACTAATCTTAATTAATCTCGTTTTCAGAAGTAAAAGTGAGTGCAACGAATAAATAGCGAAGGAGAGGAAAAGCAAGTCTAAAAAGCACTTGGCCACGTACTAAGCAACATTATCCGGTAAATAGTTTATAAATTATTTATCATTTATATTCAGATTATATATATATATATATATATATATATATATATATATATGTCATTTATATTCAGATCATATTATATATTGCATGTATTCTCAATAACAATTCTGTCTCTTTCCCTCTCCCTTTCTCTCTCTCTCTCTCTCTCTCTCTCTCTCTCTCTCTCTCTCTCTCATTGTAAATTATCTAAATTATTTAAGTTTTTAAATTATATTAGTATAACATATATATAAAATATTCTGGATTATCTTATTTTAATATACTTAAAATATCCATAATAAAATATTCTTATATTATTTAACACTTTTACATAGATAGTAATATTTCATAAACTGCTTCACAATAATATATTTAAATATTTTATGCATAAAGGATTCCATAATGAATAAATTGTTTAATAAATAATCAATTTTAATCAATCAATTAAAATATTTCTATAATTCAATATTCTACGCGTGTGTATTTTATAGTACATAAAATATTTCGACAACGAATTATCAATAAAATCATGACTTTGGCAACAGTAGTGCGTTGTTTATATATTACAGTTTTGCTATCATTTGCTCGGTGATATTCAAGCAATAAATAATGATACGAAACGTTTCGTATATTAATTAATTGTTTAAATAATAAATAATCATTTAATTAATCTATAAATATAAAAACTTCTACAATTTAATATTTTGCGTTACAATCAAACAACTAAACTTCAAATTTTTCTAAAATGTGAACATAAATTAATTATTAATTAAATGACTGCTATCACAACTTTATTTATTATTTTAATATTTTCATTCTTATAATTCGTATATTATACAGCATATAATATGCGTATCAGTAGCATACGCATTGCTGTAGCAAGTAGCGAATGAAATTTTAATCTCGTGTAAAGGTAAATCTCATGTTGCTCTTTTATCATTTAAGTGCGTATATAAGTATGATTATTTTGTATGATTATTGAGAGTTTCGTGCAAAGTGCGCCACGTATTTGATTAATTATAATTAAATCGTGTTTTCGTAAGTGAGTGAATGCCACAAAAAGAAATAACGAAAGATACGTAAGAGAAGAAAGGAAGTTTGGAA